TAAAAGCCTGAGGGGTTTTACTTCGCGGTAGCTGCTTGTCGCAGCGGTGGCGAGCTCAGCCTTTCCCACTCTTCCTGGCCCGCGCTTCTGGTGGAGCGCTCCTGACTCTTCCTGTTAGAGCTTGAAATGAAAATACCGCCACAGCTGCAGCGTTAGGCCTACTTTCAAACGCTTGTTTTACGAAAGAACCTCCTCCAAAGTCCTATCGATACGGTGATGGCAGCTGACGCTCAGTGCCCGGACCCGCATGGCCGAGGGGAGGCCTGGCAGTGAGGGAACCCTCCCCGGAGGTGCCAGGCCTGGGGCTGCTGTTGGCCTCCCTGCCGCCCCGCGAGCGTTTGCTGTGGTGGTGTCATGTTCATGACGACTGTGACTGAGGAGAGTATGACAATATCTCTGCATGTTGAACATGGAGTGCAGAGCTGTGATTAAACACTGCGTCGCGACGTGAAAAGAAAAAAAAAAAACGGGCACATTTTATTAACAGTGAAATAAATGGTATTCTTGTATCTGAGAAATGAGCGTTTTGTAGCTACTGCATTTTTTGTTGTCTAACAGCTACTCTAGCCTATTTGATTTTACTCATTACGGCTTGGATGTGGTGTAGCAAGCTGATTTCAAACTTGGAAAAATCTCATAGCTCGTGACAGAAACCATTGTCTGTGATACATATGCATTTAACCTTTCCCATTTCTTGGAAGATTATGTATTTTTTATTTCTCCAGCTCTGAACAGCCGCCCTCATCTATGTAGTTTTTACAGTAGTGTGAATAAATATCATTTAACTTAGTCCCTTACTTCATCAGTAGATACTGATGAGGTTGGGGTTGCGTTTCCTGTCAGCAAAGAAGGTGCCCTGCAAACAGTTCCTAATGCGGTGTGGCAATCCCCTTTAGAGACATGAGATGCTGTCAGAAAGAATCACAGTTTCTTTAGAATTCTGCATGAGAAGTTATGAGCAAATTAAACACATTAGACCCGCTTACTCAGTAGTGTCACACAAAATCAGAGCAGCACAATTTTAGTTTCCCTTTACATCTTTTTGCTTCTTTTTGTCTGCTTGCTGAGTCTACCAAACACCTACTAACCCACCCTTCCAGCCCCCAAACAACCCTCCCAAAACTGAACAAAAAAAAATCCCACAGGCCAGAGTAAAAAAAGAAAAAAAAAAGAAGAAAAAGAAGTACTGGATGTTAAAAAGCACCCGTGCAGTAGAAACACTGGTTTTCTGGTACTGTACAATTAACCTCGCATCCAGTTCCTACAGGCCTCTCGCTGCTTTACAGGCAATAATGGGGCACGCTCCTCCACTCAACAGCAGCTAACGGCCTCTGCTGGACCCTTGCAAACAGCCCACTCTAAACATTAAGTGGAATTATCTCACTGAACTCAGTTTCTGGGGGTCTGGGGAGTTGTTGTTTTGGTTTTTTTTTCAAGCTAAGCACCAGCTAATCTAACCAGAAGTAATACCTTTCTCTACAAAGTTTGTCAGCTTTAGAGCTAGCAGGTGTTCTGCGTTTGGCCGAGTGGCAGCTGGTAGTTTCCAGCAATGCTGGTAAGGTCTTTTAGCCATTAGTCATTCGTTTGCTTAACACAAATACACTGGTTATGATTAAATGAACCATGCTTTGATTGAAAAAGAAAGCTTTCCTCATTGCTATCTGGTAAGTCCTACTCTTAATTAATTTTTCCCTCCCTGACTATACCTGTACCAGGATTAAAAAAACTGTCTTCACCTTGTTCTTTCTTTTGTATTTAATGTTACCCACTGATTTTGTTGCACGGCTTTCAGAAACAGTTTGGGATCTTTCTGCAGATTATCTTTTGGTTTTTAATGTTGAGTTTCTGTTCCCCAATAATCACATTTTCACTGTTACCAAGGTGTTGTCATTTCTGTATTGTTCTCATCTCGGGATGGCTGTATTTCTATTAGGTTACGCCCTCTGTATTATTTTATTGATTTATAGTGTGGGATTTCTAGTAGTGAATTTTTCTAGCTCGACTGACTCTCTACTGTAAGCAATTTCCCATTTTCCTCTATGAAGATTGGTGCTGTGAGTGATGCCAGAGGTGCTCTAGATTACTAGTTTATATCTAGCAAGTATACTCATGGCTGAACAGCTGCTGCTGTGACTGCAGTTGGAGTATTAAAAGATTTGCACTCATCTTAGATTTACTGACTTACATTACAAGGAAAGATTTGCTTCAAATACTTATAGCAAATTGCAAGAATTGGAGCTGTGATTCTGGAAGCATTCTAGATACTTCTCGCCAGAGTTAAAGTCTGAGTGTGGTGTTACACACTTATTGTCCAACACACTCTGATAGTGGCCTGTGTAAATGGCTCAAAGTTAGTAAGTTGTTCTTCCCAACTAAGCAAGCAATCAGATATGAAATATGCTATGGAATGTTAATTAGTTACTTTTATTGCCACCAATATCAAAGTCTTCAAATAAGTGGAATTTTAACTTTTTTAGTGGATGCTTATGAGAGGTGTTGATAATCCAGTCCTGGCTGGAGAATATTTTTAAAACTCCTGTTGCTTTCAATGGCAGGATAAATTTGTATGGCACTATGAGGACAGATGATAGAATCATAGAATCATAGAATCACAGAATGCGTTGGGTTGGAAGGGACCTTTAGAGGTCACCTAGCCCAACCCCCCTGCAGCGAGCAGAGCTATCTTCAACTAGATCAGGTTGCTCAGAGCCCCGTCCAGCCTGGCCTTCCAGGCATAGGGCTTCCCCTACCTCTCTGGGCAACCTGTGCCAGTGTTTCACCACCCTCATTGTGAAAAATTTCTTCCTTCTATCCAGTCTGAACCTACCCTCCCTTAGTTTAAAACCATTACCCCTTGTCCTATCTCAACAGGTCCTGCTAAAAATATTTTCCCCATCTTTCCTGTATCACAGAATAGTAGGCCTCCTTCAGTTACTGGAAGGCTTCTATAAGGTCTCCCCGCAGCCTTCTCTTCTCCAGGCTGAACAGCCCCAACTCTCTCAGCCTTTCCTCACAGCAGAGGTGCTTCAGCCCTCTGATCATTTTTGTGGCCTCCTCTGGACCGGCTCCAACAGGTCCATGTCTTTCCTGTGCTGGGGGCTCCAGAGCTGGATGCAGGACTCCAGGTGAGTTCTCACCTGAGCAGAGCAGAGTGGCAGATTCACCTCCCTCGACCTGCTGGCCACACTTCTCTTGATGCAGCTCAGGATACGGTTGGCCTTCTGGGCTGTGAGCACACACTGGTGGCTCATGCCAAGCTTTTCATCCACCAGTACACCCAAGTCCTTCTCCTCAGGGCTGCTCTCAATCCCCTCATCCGCCAGCCTGTATTGATAGTGGGAGTTGCCCCAACTCATGTTCAGGACCTTGCACTTGGCCTTGTTGAACCTCATGAGGTTCACACAGGACCACCTCTCCAGCTTGTCCAGGTCCCTCTGGATGGCATCC